GACGTAGCGCCTTCGCTAAATGGTCTGCAGTCAGCGTCCCAAAGAGCAACAGACATAAGCTGATTATTTCCGAACGCAGCTGTCCCGTGGCGGTGAAAATTCAGACTGTCAGAATACCCGTCACCAAAGAGATCGGCCTTAAAGGGAAAAGATCATCCAGTGAACTGATCCACCTTTGAGCATAGGATACCATCGATCAGGCTTCCAAATTGGACGCCTATCCACAGCTGACAAGTTAAGCGAAGCAAATTCATGAGCAGAGGCTCGAATATCCCGCCATCTTCATTATTACAAAGAGGAGACTGAGCCATCGAGAAGAACACTGAAATTTTCACTGGTCAATTGTTTGGCCGATACACGGGCAGTAAACCAGGATTTAACGTCGATCTGATGAGTATAACAGTCAAAAACCTATAACTGATACCTACGAAGATATGAAACTTAAACGGGTTTGAAAAATCATGATAATGCTCTTAACTGTTTTCACGTCAGGAGTCAGTATGCAGTTGATGATGGTTACAAAACTACGTTGAAACGCGAACGTCTTAGACCAGAGCGAGCTACCGTGGCGATGCTGGTAGCGTGTAGGTGACAGAAATTATGAAAATCAAATTTGCAACATATACAATAGCAGCATATGAATTGCAATTAAAATGGTAGATGGTATCAATGCATTAAATCCGTCAGGCCAGCTTCGTCATCATGATCGTCAGTATTTTTTCGATACGTTGTTCGACGAAAGCTTCTCAAAAATTCTTCCACATTATTCTGCCTTGTGCATTCTTCTCAAACAAATTTCTTGAGTGCGCCCTGCCACTGATCTCGAAATTTTGTCACGACACGACAAAATTGTGACTGCTCTTAGGAGGACAGAAAATTCAGTGTATCATAGGTTCAACGACGGGACGTCCTTCTAGCAAAGTGGTCGACCCATTGGCATTCCAACTTCATCGCCCTTGCAATGGTACCGCAGACCCCTGGCTGTGCTCTTACCCATTCGTCGGTTTTCTCATTTCATCGGCATATTTCCAACATGCACCTTTCCATGTTAAGTCGTGTAATCTGTAGTTTGTGAACAATGTTCATAAAGTTTTTATGTTTTTATTCCATACTTTAGTCCTTTCGCTTCAGCCACAAGATCCGTTCCCCAGATGGGAACATTTTCATACTTTCAAAATTGTTCACTGCTATTTTTACTCCTCCGACGATTCCGCAGAGTTGCTCCTCCGTCCTCCGTTGCAGAGATCAGCTTTCGAGGAAAACGAAGATTTACACTTCTCCCAGTCGAAATTCACTAACTTAACAATATTGGGCACTGTTTTGTATTGCCATATATTCATTTTAATGATTCTCAGGTTGTTTATCGATCGTTCGATTAATGCAAATACCAAGCAGCTGTAAAGACGGATAAACGGCTTTAAGGCCGTCTCTCAGTACAGCTCGTACAGTCAACATACGACAAGGAATTCCGCCTTCGCGTTTGTAGCTCAAGTCGAACAATGGCTACATTTCAGTGCACCGAACTCAACAAAGAAAGCTACGCAAGGATGTTTACTCTGACAGTCGACAAACGTCAGCCCCCGGCACTGAGCCTGTTGTTCAAGTAGCGGCTGCACCGTGGTTATGGAACGACTTTCACCTGCCTCGCCGAGAGTAACGTGGTGACAGCCAGATGCATAAGTAATAAGAATGAAAAGTTCAATCTTAACAGCGATCTAAAGCACCAGAAGCGCAGCATAGCTTCTTGTACGCTTTGAAACTTTGCACCAATACATGCACGCATCCAAAATGCCTGGAAGATAATTCGCTGAGGCAGCTATTGGATCGGTGTCTTGCCTACAGGGGTGTCCCTGGTCATTTTTTCCATTAGCAGCATAACGTTATATTCAATGGAACAAGCACCACCCTCAGGTCTCTGAACGAATTCCAACAGCTTTCGTAACAACAAACATTCGCTGAATAATAAGCTGTTCCGAAGCACGGAAGATGCAAGATTGTCTCCATCACCAGCGCACAAATAATTAGTATTAATGAACAAACGGAACTATGACCTCATTCTTTGGCTTAGTCCTTGACCGGAGTATAAGCTCTTACTGTCTTGCATACTTCGGGTGCAAAAACTGTTTTTTCAGTCAGTCGGTTTCGATGACCACTATTCACTGTGGAACGCTGTTGCGGACGCTTCAAACAGTGTCTAAAACGCCGCTCGTCCTGCGCCAGCGTTTGAGCTTCGGCATGAGGTGACCCGAATCTGAAGCAGAGTCTTCCGAGACATTTTCCACAGGCTATTGTTGGCCGCTTCAGGGATCGCCCGCCGGTCGGTTGAGCAAGTAGCAGCTGCTTTGCTTTGCGTTCTGTAACAATTCAGCCATGGCCCACTATTCATTACCATAGGTGAATACAGAAACGAAGACCGACCTGATCGCGGCGAGCGTAGTTTTCAGACTCAGCTCTGTCTGAAATACAGTAATTCGGGTCAGTTAACAAAAAACGCCGTTCGGTCGAATTTTTCTCCCATTTCTCATCACCGGTAAAGCAGGTGAATTTATCCACCTACTTCAGTGTTTATCCTCTTATCTGCAGAGCGTAGCGTGGAGAAGAACTCACCAGGTGCTTGATTTTGGACATATTCAGACGCATACCGGTCACGTCGCACTCGCCAGCGAACCCTTCCAGAAAGCGAATCCTTAGGGACATTTTCAGAAGATACCAAAAGACGAAATCCCCATAAACAACTTTCCCTGACACTGAAGTCGCCAGTCTATTTTATCCAAGAACAACACAAACAAAACAACCGGCAGAACTCACTGCCTCCAGAGATAAGTGCCAACAATGAAAGGTTTCTACCTAACGCCATTTACTCTGACGAAAGCAACTCAATAGGTAGCAAATAGCCATCGATTCCACATGTCTGCAGACCTGCCCATGGTATTCTGCGCGGGATCCGGTTGTAGGCCTTTTCCAGGTCAACCAAGTACATGTAAACTGGATGAAGGAGCGAACTCCCACGGACTTCGTTGTGTTACCTATTTTACCTTTATCTATATAGTTCGTTCTACAACAATGCCACTGAGAAACCGCAGTATCCGAGGGTAGCCGCGGAACGTTCAGCAATTAGCTACAAGATTGGGCTGAGTTCAGCGATGATCGTTCTGTTGACATATACTCGATCAGCTCGTACGGCTGTGAGTGGTTCTG